CACAGAGGTTCGTTTAAACGTCGATGGAACAACAGAAATTTCCTCAAGATGCAGCCTGGAACGAAATTTCTAAGGAGGGATGCACCCAATACTGTCTTCTTTACATATTATTTAAGTACACTAATGCAAGTACCAAACAGCTTATGCCAGATCTTGTTCTATTTTTTGCCACCTCAGTATCCGTTAAAACACCAGATCGCGACAACACCCCAACCATACCGCTGCCACACCATAAGTCTCTGCCAGTTCTGTTATGCTTAAAAGCCCAAACATCGTTGTTTTTATTTTTATTATTATTAGCATAATATTGGGTAAATATAGTCTGCACGACGATTCAGGGAGGATTTCGACAGACAATTACAGAAAAAAGGCAGAAGACTCGACCTATCATTGTTCCGTCAATAACAACTAATGGTATTCAAGCACCTATAATTAATTACTCCAACCCAAATTATTACACTACCCCCTTGAAATGGGACGCAGGGCTGAGCTGTAGCTAATCTAGCTTGTTGTTCTGGAGCCCTCTAGACAAGGATTCGTCGGGAATCCGCTACTAGGCCTATTCGCGTTTCCATCTTGAAAACATGAGATTTTCCTCTGTTTTGATTTTGTTCGACCTTTTCCTGTGCCCATTGTAACCGTGTACGTTTTTACTGTGCTCGCAAAGGTCTCCGACAATGTAAATTAACAGAATTTAATCGACATGATACTTCTTCTTCTTAGGTCGCCGTCTCCCCTCGGAGCTTAGCGATCCAACTGGCTATGATAGTGCGTGAAACCGCACCTCTAAAAATTTCAGTCGATGTTCTTCCGAACAAACGACGCAGATCCTTAAGCCAAGAGTTTTGCCTTCTCCCACTGATCTCCTGTCCTCAATTTTGCCTTCAATGGCCAGTCTGAGCACCTCGTATCGTTCACCCCTCATGATGTGACCGACTTACTGTAACTTCCTTTGCTTCACTCACATAGGATTTCTTTATCTTTGCCCATCCGCTTGAGCACCTCCTCATTTGTCACTCTATCGATACAAGAACATCTCAAAAGCGTTAATGCAGTTTTTCAATGTCTGATTGAGTCCAAGTCTCAGAGCCGTACAGAAATACAGGAAAGAGGTAGCAATAGACGTATGCGCAGTTCGAGGCTTAGATCTCGGTTGGAGAAGAGGGTTTTCATGGAAGCAAAGGTACGTCTGGTCTGTTAGGTTAGGTTAGTTAATCTGTTCGCTGTTCGATCTTCGCCAAAATACTAGTGGTGACGATAGTTCGACGTGATACAGTTTGTCTTAATATAATAACTCCCTCAAGCCGGGTTGTACGTTAATGGGCTCCTCCTAGGAATTATTGATAGCTGACGATCTTGTGCTGCAATAAGCTTTTTTCGAACTCTTTCTGGTTGGTCCTTAACATCATTGGTTCCGCGAAACATTTTATTAAGTCTTGAAGTCTGACTTAATTAACTCCTACAATTTCTGCTACTTTGTTTTGTGATAGACCTTGTTGTTACAAACTTACTATTCGGCTTCTGTTAAAGTAGGAAATAACATTTCTTGGCATTTTATATGATAATACCGTGATCAGTATGCAGAAGAGCTAAAATAATACTAATCTAAATAAAAAAAAAAAAAAAATTTCACAAAATATAAATAAACATTTTTTTTTTTTTTACTTTACTTTAATTTTGATAAAGTTTGTGCATACCATGTCAACAATACCTGCATAAATTAGCCATTTAATTTTAAAAATAAAAGATCTGATGCTCTATTATAATCAATATACAGAGTGGTCCGAACTGTATCTGGAAACTCCTGCATTATTTTGGTAGATAAAAATAAGTAAAATGTTTAGAAGTAAATATATGTCCTAAAATGATTAGTTCTGGAGACAGGCGTAGAAGTTTCATTTTTATTTCGACTATTTCCAAACAATTTCTGAAGTGACGTTAATATTTGATGAAAAATTGGTGTCTGGGATTTTTCTGACATAAGAAATTTGATTTGATGTCACAATGACCCCTACATATTTTTAACTAGTTTGAAGAGTAATAATTTTTTTTTTTTTGGAAATAAACCGAGTAAAAAAAAAAAAAATATACATTTACGGCGTTTTTAACGTAGAAAGGTCTCTTGGTAAAATTTGTTACGAGTAATGGTTCTCACAAGGAGATTGTGAACAGAGTAATGGTCTCCGAGATGGAATCGAATTATCAATACTTGTCATCATTGACTTGAATTAAACATATGATGACTAAATAGTTATTAGACTGATCTCATAAATTTGACATAATTTGTGTCAAAAGTTCAGAAACTGTTTTATCATCATTTTTCGCAGAAAAAAATTTATGATTAATTTAAAAAAATAGAAATTTCCTTAATTTATTATTTCAGTCAAATAACTAATCTACCTAACGTGTTTATTTTTGTCAATAATAACACATGTATTGTAAATATCTTGAGAACGGTTGCTCGTAGCGATTTCTACTAAAAAGACATTTTTACGTAAAAATTAAGTAAATGTATATTTTTTCACTCAGTAGTTTTATACAGGTAATGGACGAAAAGTTATTACTCTTCAAAATAGTTAAAACATTATGTAGGTGGCGCCCCCTACAAATAGGGAGCCAAGTATTGACATCAAAATCAAATTTCAAGTATGTCAAAAACTTGGACCACCACCACTCATCCTAATATTGACCTTATTTCAGAGATTATTTGAAAAAATCGAATTAAAAATGAAATTTCTATTGACCTGTATCTCCGAAATTAAGCAATTTAGGGATATATATATTTATATAATGGACTTTTTCTATTTTTATTCAGTTGAATGTGCTGGCTGAAGTTCCGGAATGCAGTTCCGACCACCCTGTTATAATCCATCAAGAAGATTGCAAGCCGTCAAATCATTACCTATTCGAACAGTTATAAACTTAGACTATAAACCACAATTGCCTAATATTAAATAAACGAATATTACTACTGCTTGATAGTTAAATTTCTCTTCTGTAACATCATTAATTGTTCGTAAAAAATCACGCGGACGTTCTACAACTCTTAAACTATTTCTTTCATGGTTTTACTTTACTTTTACTAATAATTCGGGGTGGTTAATTTCGTCTTATATTGAAGATCGTGATGCAACTCACACCTTGCCTCTCACTTTCCATTTATATGATTTCTTCAAATCATAAATGATGATTTTGAGATCTGTAAAGATATTTAGGAAGTAAATAGTAACAGTTTCATCTTCTCGACGCGACGTTTCATAAATAATTCTTACTTAAGTGGTTTCATGCAAAGTATTTAATTGATAGTAATATTCTATTTCATTATAAAAAAGAAGATTTGTATTGGACGTGTATGTTCTAGAAATATGAATAGATTAAGCACAAAATGATAATTTTAGTTATCTAACACTCTAACCACACACCTTCATATTGATACAAAGTGAGCGTATATTTTCTTGGTAATAGTTACACAGAAGCAAAGATAATCCTATAATTTCCTTTGATAAAAGTTTGCAAATACTTGGCCCGGACATATTCAACTTCTACTCATTTTATCTGGACACTATAGTGTTATATCAAATATGATAGCCTTAAACTTTAACAATGCTTAGATAAGGTGCATTACATCGCCGAATATATCATAGATAGTTCCTCCTAAATTAGATTTTTATATTGAATAACGACATTTTGCTTGAGGCCAAGTGAAACCTTTGTGAAGATTAAAACCTACGTCTATGTCTCTTTGTAAGCCTATAGGAATGTGGTGTCCCCCAGGGTTCAGTGGCAATTAGGCCCCTATTTTTGTTTCTGTTTTATTCCTTCCTTGTTTCTGTAAGAAACTACATTGCAAATCTAAACATTAACGGTAAAATCTGCCTCTTGGCGGACGATACTAGTTTCACTTGGAGTGGTCCAGATGTTACGGCACTATAGAATACTATATCCAGTGACTTACTACACCATTAAATCTTGATGCAATTCTAATCTCCTATTCCTCAACCTATCAAAAACTAAGTTTACTACTTTTACTTTTAAAAGTTTTGTTTAAGTAAATAAATAAAAAAAAAAACCTTTTGTACTTAATAACACCACTATTGGCGTCGTGGACTCTGTGAAATTCTTAGGACTTACTATAGACAACTCGTTAAAATGGGACTTGGACATCGAAACTTTATCAAAGAAACTAAGTGCTGCCTGTTTTGCGCTAGGTTTCTAAGGAACTTAACTTTATCAACCCTAGAATAGTCTATTATGCCTTTTTGAGTCGTAATCTTCATTTATGCCCCTTCCATTCTGGGGTAACTGCTGCGCGACAAAATTTGATCATCTTTTCAAACTTCAAAAGAGCAGTCTGATATTTATTGGGACTGAACAGTAGAACTCACCGCCAGAATTTCCTTTAAAAATTTCTAAAATAATTGACTCTTCCTTCTTTATTCATTTTGAACCCGTTTGCTTAATCCGCAAAAACATATCTGCTATTCCCAAAAGACCACCTCACAACTATCCACTTAGGAATGCGGAGCACGATCTCAGCCAACCCCGAGCTCAGAACTAGCTAAAGGTTCAATACTGTGCAGCGTCAAAAATGTATAATACAATCATCTGCCTTTGGATATTAAGTCGCTTTCATTCTTTCCTGAATTTCACAAAGCTCTGGAAATCATACTCTACTGGAGAGAGCCCTATATGCAGTAAACGACTTTTGTGTTGATGTTTAATCTTGAACAATTTTGAATTTTAAATGTTTTTTTTTTTTTTATTTTTGTTAAAAATTCAATATTTAATATTTTATAATAACTCTAAAATGATTATAACTTTTTGTGTTCTGCTATGTCCATGTATGTTCTATTATTTGTAATTTTAATGACCTATTTTTTGAATTGTATGACATTGATTGGTTAGATCTCTTATTATTTGTAAATGCTTTGTCGATGAAGGCTTATTTTGGCTTTTGTACAATAAAAGCGTTATTTTCTATTTATTATCTTGTTTTTTAGGATTTTGAACACTGTGTGTTATCTGGAGACAGAGAATGTCGTTACATCCGAGGCGAAATCAGAGAAGGCATAGGCGACCACAGAAGACAATCCATGTTCTTCTGTGGACATCACATGGACTGTCTACCTTTCAACACTGAAGGGGCTTTGGAAAGATGCCAAAGAGCCAGAAGAAAACTATACAGTCGTTGGTGTTTTTAAAGAGATGAACACTACATTAACTGTCTTGGAAAATTATATTCCTCGATTTTTTGAGGGAGCGTCAGATGTATATTGGAGTAAGTTGTTTTCTTTCAAACATTCAATATTTTCTTTTATATTATCATGCGAGTGAACAAAGATGTAGATGTAGATGTATAGATTGTATGGGAGGAGGGAAGTTAATCACCGCCACCTAGCTTCAATCTACTGAGGTGTTGATTGAGTAGACAGTGTCCTGCTAAAAATCCCGTGAAATTCTGAAGATTGTTCTTACTTGAATCAAGATTTTTTTATTTTTTCTTATCGTAAGTCTGAAACTTCTTCAACTGGGAACTTCTTTAAAGAGACCGTTGTTCGTTCCAGGTTACGGATACATTATACATTAAACTATTCAAGGTTCTTGAGTTTCGCTTTAAGTTATTTTCTGCTTGGGAAGCAGAATGGTTCTGATCCAGTTAGTGGAGTGGAACCTGCTCTTTCTCTCTTAGCTTTATCGTTTGATTTTTCAGTACCTTCTATTTGCTTAATATGTTACTCTATATTCCAGTATAGTTGGGCTCACATAGAAAAGATGTCATTTTGAAATGGGCAAAATCTTACGATTCTTCTGACAACTTCCAATACTTTTGTTTAATATAGAAGAAACTGTTGAAGGACGAACCATTGCATTAAATTCAATAAATACTGCTGACTAGCTTTGCATGTTATTCTGATTTAATCAACAAAAATACTTAAGGAGGTGGGTCGGCATCCAGAGTAGAAGGACATTATTATGTTTGCCTAATTTGTTCAGCCTCTCTAGGCATTTTTTGAACAACTCTGAATTAATGGCTATTGATCGCTCGATACTTACTAATCGTTCTTAGGGCTGCTTGAATATCGGATAAGATGTCTATTTATTGTTTCCGATAGTTCCTATTAAAGAAAAGTTGTGGTAATGCATTTTCGATATGTAGATTTCTGCCTAGGGAGGTAGATGCTGTCCATTGGTCTGAGCATTTAGTTTTTGGCCAAAATACTCCTAGCCCTCTTGCTTTGCCTTTAAAGCATTCAGTATACTCAGTGTTATGGTATATCTCTTTAACCGTTGAGTAAACGCTTCTCTTTCCAACTCTTTTATTGCTCAATACTACATTGAGGTGTTTCTGAAAGTTGTCCATCTATCAGGCGTCATCTACTGGGAGTTGGAGAAGTGGAATTTTTCTTTTGAGGATATTTCATAGGGTATGCCGGAGATAATCTTACTGTATTTTTATAATTATTGATTTAGACAAAATTTGACTTTGGCGGTAAATTTATATTTTAAATAAAGTTGATTGTAAATAACGAAAAAGTAGTTTTTGGTCTAATTTTTATTTGGGAAACCTGTTTTTAATTGTTCATGTAGAATGTAGAATGTTTGAGAGGAGCACCACCGCGACCTTATAGATCTTATTGTGTGTTCCCTTTCTTGTGCTATAACGAGTTATAACTCATCATACAGTCTCAGGGCTTTAAGAAAAGCCAGTATCTGAGATTGCCTCCATAGAGGCTAGCTCTCCATCCTCGACATCAGACGTGCCAAGGTTCATGGCACGAATGGTCGTCGTCTCGGCGCACTCAGTGATAAGTGTTCTGGTGTTTCCCCATTTTCCCACAAAACTGCATTCGCCGCTGTTCTCGCTCTTCAGCCACTGAGGTGTTCGTTATGAGACAGTGTCCTGTTAGAAACCCCGTGACAATCCGAAGATTGTTGTTTTACTTAAATCAAGGAAACCTTGGATTTTTCTCGGTCATAAGTTCTAAGGAACCTTTTCGAGTGTCTTAGACCGTTGGAGGACAATTCCATTCCAAGCTACGGATGGAGTCTCCAGATTCTTCAGTTCCGCTTTCAGTTGGTTCCCGTTTGAAAACAGAACGGTTCTTGTCCAGTTGGGGAGTGTTTGCTCCTTTCCTAGCTGGACCATTTGCTTTTTCATTGCCTCTATCCCTGGTGAGCAGGCACCTGTGAGTAGAGGGACTTTATTTTCTTTGCCTAATTTGTTGAGCTTCCTAGGCATTCCTTTGACCAACTTCGAACTGATGGTTACCTGAGTTGATCGCGTTAAGTGCTGCTTGACTATCGGATAGATGGCAATTTCCTGTTTTCGATGGTTCCTATCCAAGATAAATTGTAAGCATATTTCGATAGCGTAAATATCTTCGTGGCCTGAAGGATGCTGGTGTAGGTGCCCATTTGTTCCGAGTATTCAGTTTTCGGCCCAAATAATCCTATCCCTGTCCCTGCTTTGGTTTTGGCATCAGTATACCACGTGATGGCATGGTCTTTCATATGCTGAGTAAGCGTTTCTTTCTTCCAATCCTTTTATTACTCAATACTCCAGTGAGGTGTTTCTCAAGTTGTAGATTCTGGTATGTCATCCACTGGGAGTTGAGAAGGGAATTTTCTTTGAGGGTGCTCCTGCCCTGACCTGGAAAATTCCCTCCCACCACTGTTTCCGTCAATGACCATTCTAATCATTGTCGCATTGGCATAACTACCGACGACAATATGCAGTGGTGTTAGGTCTAGAATGACCCCCATTGCTGCTGTTGGACATGTTCTCATGGTACCTGTGATGCAGATACATGCCAGTCTCTGTACTTTGCACAGGGTTTGTCTTGCTGTACTGCTGCTCTAGTTTTGTATACCGAACAACTCGCTCCATAAGTAACTCATGGTCCTACTATCATTGTATACATCCAGCGCAAATGTTAGGCGCAGCCCCACCCATTCTGCCAGTCTCTGCATATCATGAGAGCCTTTGTGGCTTTGCTGGTAATGTTCTTAATATGCCTGTTCCAGAGAAGTTTACTATCCAGGGCTATTCCCAGATATTTCACATCCTGTGATGGCAGTATTTCCTTCCATCTAGATGGATTCTTTCAAGTTTTCAAACTCTCTGCTTTGGTGAATGGCACTACTGTGGTTTTATCTGAGTTAATACTCAGCCCGACAGTCCTGCACCATCTCTCAACGATGCGGAATCCTCTTTGGATAATATCACACAGGGTGCCTCATGTTTCCCCCGTGCAATGATGACTATGTCATCTGCGTACCCTATGCAGTGTATTCCCTCTAGAGTTAATTCTTCCAGTAGTTCATCCACTCACCATCCACTACCAAGCTCCACCTTGTGGAGTTCCCTGCGTTGTTTTAATAACCACAGTTTTGGTACCTATCTCAGCCTCTGCTGTTCGTGTTAAGAGCATTTCCCAAAACCAGCGGATTATCGTACTGTTCACCCCTCTTGTTTCAAGAGATCGTTTGACCACCTTGTGAGGTATATTGTCAAACGCCCCCTCAATATCCAAGGCACAAAGTCTATTGTGTAAAATATATCAATTTTCAAACACTAAATTTTTTTCCTAATTTGTTCAGTTGGTACATATTTTCTCTATTGCCGAAAGTGCATATTTTCTCGATTATTTTGTTTTTTGACTCATCTCGATAGCTTTATTTTAAAAACTAAACGTTTTCTTAGCTTTATTTTTATTAGAGATATTCGCTTTTGAAGAAGACAGTAACGATTAATAACAATTTATTAGCATCAGAAATATGCTTTTGTTTTTGGTCCAAGTCAACACACCTATGAAATAGTGTTTATTGTTTTTCTAAGGTAACTGTCATTGAAAAGTCATATTATTATAGTTTGTGTTGACAGTTACCCTAGCAGATATGGTTGTAAGCCCAGAAGTTGTATTCACTATTGTTGTTTTTATTTAAAAAAATAGAGATCAACTTCTGAACTTAAACTTTTCATAAACAAATATCTTTAATAAAAATGTAATAAAAATACAGCTATTGAGATGAATTAGAAGGCAAAATATCAAAAATATTCACCTTGATATGATTAAGCGGTTTTTAAATTCCTTACTTTGTTAAACCATTTCAAGGATGTTTCAAAGCTTCGCCAAAATAACATTTTCTTTTTCTTCGTATAGAAAGATGAGGATTTTCATTTTTAATTTAACAATTAGCTAAAAAGTGAAATAACTGAGTTACACATTCCTTAAAAAAACATCGATATCGGCAAACTATATTATATTGAACAAATTGAATTAAACTTTAAAATCCATTTATATATATACTCACTTATTCTATTTTTTTAAAGATGAAATAAGTAGATACAACCCTATCAACAAGAATAACTTCAAGCCGCCTGTAAGTGAAGAAGTGAAAGAAATTGTAAGGAGGAACTTCACCAAAGAAATAGACTTTTACGAATTCTGCAAACAGAGACTCCATAAACAGTATCTGGCACTAAAATTAGATAAATCATAGTCAACTTATATTTCGAATCGTTTATTTATACTGATAGATTCTTGTGTTTGTTGATGTTTTGTTTGTCAGTAGATATTGTTGTTGGTAGATTTATGTTACTCTATATTTGCAAAATTCCATATCAGTATTGTATTTACTGTTTTTCTGGTAAAACATGCTTTTATTTATTGTAAATTATGCTTGACTGAAAAATTGTCTCTATTAATATGTTTGTAAATATTACATTTGAACTAGAATTTAATGTATTACAAAGGAGGGGGGGTTTATTCTTCTTGAAATTAAAATTTCTATAAAACGTACCAAATTTAGGAACTTGTCAAGGTTTTTAAAATATGGACAAAATCTTGTTCTAGATATAATTCTATATAATAATTTCTTGTCAATATTTTATGTCAACCATTTCATGAATAAATTATAGTTGTCTCTCTGTTGCATAAAATCATTAAATATATTTTTATTAGATAAAGGTGCCTCAAGAATATTATAATGAATATTTATGTGTTTATAGTATCATATGGTTTAGTGTTATTTTTGATTTATATTTAAAAGTGTTGTTATAAAATCATTTTCCATTTAATTTTAATTTTTCGTCTCATTAGAATTATTGTAATAACACTTAAAATATTGTGATTTTATTTTGGTAAACTGTAAATATATGTTTAAATATAGTATAGTTAATAATAGGATTTCTATGCTTGTTTTATACATCAATGCAAAATAAATGTATTTCAATTAAAAATACTTTTTATTTACAAAAGAACTTCAAAAAACGAACTATGTGATTGACTTTTTTTACCTAAAAGTTATTTATATGTCAGTGTTTATGCTATTTACCTATAGTACGTTTAGCCCCCGACTAATTCTAAAAAAAATTCTACTCAATAAACATTTTTTTTCTAAATACTGTTAACAATAAAAAAAATTATTGTAAACAATCCCTATTAGTATGGCACATTTAGTATTTTACTTTCACATTGGCGCCCGTTTTGCTAACCATGTTTTTTTTTCATAACAAGGGGCCGTCCTCTGCCGGAAACACTGCGACCTGTGAGGCCTATTGTGTTTGTTCCCCTTCTATATCTGCACCCATTCTCCTATCCCTGTGCCTTGCACTAGCTTATGCAGGTCCTTGATAGGATGGGAGCATAGTTCCTCCGGTTCTAGCCTAGCTTTCCCAGATAAAGAGTGTCGCTTACGATCCAGTGCCTGGCAATGACGTATTATGTGCTCCGCTGTTTCAGGATCTTTATCGCAGAGTCTGCAGCAAAGACTTCCTTGATACAGGTTGAGCTTGTTCATATAACACTTGACAGCCATGTGTCCTGTCAAGAGGCCTGTTGTAATCCGCACTTTATTCCTGCTAAGCATTAGCAGTTCTTTTGCGGTTTTAGAGCTAGGTCCTTGGATAAAAGCCTTGCTGTGCCTGTGCCCCTGTCTGTTTCTCCAGTGGACATTGTGCTTTTCCTTGATCCAGAGTTTTAGTGCACTACGGGCCATACATTTGGGTATTCCCAGTATTGGCTCTGGACCAAGATAGGATGCCGATGATCCCTGCCTAGCTAGCTCATCGGTTTTTTCGTTGCCTTGGATGCCGCTGTGGCCCGGCACCCAGAATAATTTAATTCTGTTCCTTCGTGCCAGAGCTCCCAGTTCACCCAGGCATTCCCAGACGAGTCTCGACGATACCTTTGGGTTCACAAGCGCCCCAAGTGCCGCCTGACTGTCTGAGCATATATTGATGAGCTTACCTAATAAGCTCTTCTATTGTTTTCTCTTGCACATTGTAGAATGGCGAAGATTTCTGCCTGGAATACGGTTGAGTGCTTACCCAAGGAAAAGGATAAGCTTGCCCTTGGTCTTTCCCCACATACTCCAGCTCCTGTTCCTTCAGCGGTCTTTGACCCGTCTGTATACCAGGTTAGTCCATCCTGAAGGAATGTTATATCTGTCCACATTCCTGGATCCATTTTGTTCACCTCGAATGGTTTGTGGTAGTGATAAAGAGGGGTCATTTGGTCCGATCTCATTTGGAGTAGAGATCCTCCGATAGAATCTCCCATCTTTAAGTGTCCAGTTTCTGTCCTATTTCCCGGAGACAAGACACTTTGTTGTCGATAGAGTCCCATTCTTGCCTCCGCCTGGATCACTATGTGAAGAGGCGGAAGGTCCAGAAGCGCCTCCATTGATGCAGTGGGCGTTGATTTCATTGCCCCTGTTATGCTCAGACAAGAAAGTCTTTGCACCTTACTAAGACTGAGCATTGTTGTTTGTTGCATTACCTTAGGCCACCATACCAAGGATGCATATGTTACTGAAGGCCTCACCACTCCAGTGTACAGCCAGTGCACCATCTATGGTCTGAGGCCCCAGATATTTCCATGAAGTCGTCTGACTACCGCTAGTGTAGTCACCGCCCTCCTTGTGACATTTTCCAAATGTCGGTTCCAGGTCAGTTTGGTATCCAGCATGGTTCCTAGATACTTGACCTCCCCCGAGAGAGGAATCTCATCACCGCAGAGTCTTAGAGGTCCTAATCCCTTCGAAATTTTTCGTTTGGTGAAGGGGATTATTACGGTCTTTGTAGGACTGATATTTAGTCCCTCCCGTGTCACCCATGATTTCACAATCTTCAGGGCCCTTTGCATTCGCTCCCTTACTGTTGTGTTAAACTTACCTCTGACTAACACGACCAAATCGTCTGCGTATCCCAGAGTGCTGAAACCAGCCCTGTTGAGACTATCAAGCCGTGTGAGACTATCTGTCCGTCCATAACGAGATTCCACAGCAGACGGGAGAGAACTCCACCCTGCGGGCATCCTCCCGCCACCCGGACTGCTACAGTCTCATTTAGTAGGGTGGTATATGCCACTCGACTTTTGAGCATGCAGTCTATCCACCTGCAGCAGGTCTCCTCTAATCCGAGGTTCCTTGATGCTAACCATGTTAGCATCATCAGCAAATGATTAAGACTCGTTTTCAAATTATTTTTTTTAATTAAATCAGTTTTAATCATAGGCTGATGATGTAGAATATAGAATGAGGAGGTATACATACCCTTCCATAGTTGGAGTTTGGCCTTCCGTGCCCTTCACAGTCGGAGAGCTTGATTGTGGTAATTTAGTGTTTTTATTTTGCTGTTGTAACACCAAAGGTTCCAACACCCAAATGTAATAATGTAAGATTTTAAGATACGAAACCTAATGGGCGAATTCGTGACAAGGATGATTTGTACACATATAATCGTAACACATCAAACGCTTATTTCCTCTAATTCGAAGCGAAGGCATATTGAAGACGGTGTGGATCTGAAAGCGATAGTGTTGCCATAAAATGTGTAATATCTGTAATACGTTTGACGAAAATATCTTTGGATGAAGAATCCGCGTTTATGTATTGAAAATTTATTCGTTTTAAACATAGAATAAACAACAAAAATAAAAATTCTTTTATAGGTACTGAATATATGTCGTATGATCGAAAAAAGTCGTTTAGCTGGCTAGGAAATTATGATTATTGACATTTACCATAATATTGTACATATGAAATATGAGCAATCTTCATTTCCAAGCCAACTCTGACGTCGTTTTTTGTTTAATCATATAACATTATATTAAATTATTTAATAATAGAAAATCGGTATTATTAACGTACTATACCCAAAATCCGTAAATGTACGTATTAATCAGTAGTTCTGATAACACTGTCTCCGGCAACCACTCACTCTGTCGACTGAAAGCAAAACTACGGTATTCTTGATGTGCTGCGCTGTAAACGACGATTAGCGCGCAGTGGCGCAGAGCTAAACTAAATCTCGGAATTCTCGGACAGGCTGACGGTAACGCCAGGTACATGGACAGGTTTTGTCCCACGAAATCGTCCATAAGGTTGCGCATCTTCTTATTTCTTCAATCAACGATAGAACCCTTCTGCGGCGTTGTAAAAGCAGTCGCAAAAATGGTTGCAAAGCAGTGGGTTGGCAACAAATCTCAAGCATGGCAGAGAAATTCTCCAGGGCAGAGAAAGGCGAGAAAGTTCAATAGTAGAACATTCGCCAAAATTCACGGCTGACCTGATAAGCTAAGACAGATACTCAAAGCTATAATGCTCAACATTGTTAGTACAGGGCTGCCATTTTTTTATGTCGGTGTGACAGTTTACCAGATGTCCGATTCTCTGTGGTACTAGACAATGATATGTCATTGATGAAGAGTTACATGAAGGGTTCAGTCTCCAAGTTGATGGAGTTTTTGAAAACGATATAGGCCTGGAGAATAGATCTGAAACCACAATAGATCTGAAAAGGCCGCAGTGGAACAGGCCACATGTATTCTTTAACAGAAATAGAATATTTTGGATTGAATACTAGTATATTAATAGTTCCTTTAGACAAATTCAGTAACTTATTCATGTAAAAGACTAACTAAACTACTCAGTCACTAAAAAGGTGGAGAAATTAGGAAAACTACAATTTTAAAAGATAAAAGATTTATTTTACATAGAATATATATTTTGATCTAAACGCCGCTGTTCATAGTGAGATATTATTATTAATAATTAGAGATTAAACAAATTATATATTTTTTAATATTGTTAATATAGACACTGTATATATCTGTATTGAGATATAGATTTGAGTTTCATTCCGTTTCAAAAATAATTTAATAAATGTTATAATATTTCTTTCCACCACTGCCAGGGATTACTTTTCACAGCCTGATTCACAGATAATATAAATATTTACATATATATACATTACATATCCTTTAAATAAAGAATATTGCAATAAAAAGCTTAAATTGTCTCATTTCAAAACGTATATCACTAAACAAACTTTTTTTTAATTATAAATTATTCTCCTTTTTTAGCAGTACATAATAATAAATTGACCAATAGTATAACAATTAGATATATATTCATTAAATATACGTATATGTACAGTAAAACGTAACGTCAGTCTCTACTTTTGAGTATAATATAATTAATCAAATACAATAATGAAATAATTAATTTAGAATTTATAGTAAACACAGATCTTGAATTTCCTTTAGTATTTTCGGATTCATTATAGTATTTTATATATACAAACATATAAAAAGAGTTTATATTAAGTTCCAATGAGTTATCGAATTGAAAAATACATACATAGTATAATAATATAGTTTTGAAAGTTTTAATAAATGCTTTCTTATACATATTTAAAACTCTGTATATATTTTCGATAACATTAGACGTATACAGGGTCCGGCAATAGTGCGTCGGGCATCTGTAGCTTCTAGAATAAAAAACTTGAGAATTTTGTTTAAGTGCAAACTTAAAGTATGTACCATGATGTATTTCAGGAAAATATTTTAACTTCTATAGGGTGGCTCAAAAAAGTGTGAGTGGACCTGGATGATTTTTTTTTAAATGGAACACCCTGTATATTATTGCACTTTTGGCTTTCTTTCAGATCACTTTACATAACCCTAAGATATGAATAAATAAATTTCGATAGTTTCAGAGATATTAAAAATAAATAAAAATATATATTTTTCAGCCCTTCTTAAAAAAATTATTAAAAATACAAGAACTGTTCTGAAATCAAAACTATTTTAGGTATTTACTTTAGATGGTCTGTACTTACTTTGCTATAAATATGAAAATCGTAAATCATACAGGATGTTCAAAATTCTACGCCAAACTTTCTAAAATGTAAAATAATTTTTCTTCG